GGAGGAGGACATCAGGGAGGATGGAGGAGGAGGACATCAGTGTAGAAGAACAGAACAGAAAAAAGAACAGAGTAGAGCAAGCAGCAGAAATGAAAATAAAATGAAGAGTTAGCTCTTCCCTCGGAAAGTCTCCTGTGTGTGCAGCTCCACCAACACCTCACCCCTTTGCAGTTCCTTCGACCTGCTGAAGCTGGACCCTCAGCAGCACAAGTCACCATGGTCCTTGTACCTGAAGATGCTGCCAGCTACTTTCGTGAAAATGAAAGTAAGCTCAGGGAGCAGCTATCTGGTCCACAGTGGCAGAGCTCATCAGCAAGCAAACGTGAGTCTGTGTGTGTTGGTTGAATGTCCCATTCCTTCGCTTCCTCCCGAACAGTAGAGCATTTGTAGGCTCTCTCACTAGAGCGGTCAGCAGGTACCCCTCCTCAGGTCCACACCACACAACCCAGCACTTCCACATCACCTGACAGATCATGGTGAACAGGACTCAGTAGTGTGACCCGGCTTTGCCCGCAGGAACTCCCAGTCTCTGAGGTAGGACACAGGCAGTCCTGTGACTCCAGGGCAGGAACCAGCCCTCCTCCTGCCTCTGTTTTGCCAACGTGACTTGTACTGGGGGGAGTGCTCTATTCCCAAAGCCTGGGCAGTGTAATGAGCTCTCTTCATTTGCAAGCAACCTCCCCCATCTAGAGCTGAATTCACAGATGCTAAAGGTGCTGAGCTGTCTCAGGGGGAAAGGCAAGCTCTTAGACAATGCTTCCTTGTATTCCCAAGAATTTATAATATTCAGAAATAAATGAGTAATTCACTAGGGATCAATTTTAACATGGAACACCTGGGAGGAAAGAGCGTGAGCTAAGACTGTCATATCACAATCCAAGGAAAGGTCTACTACAGAGGTTCTATATGTGGTTAGAAAAGTTATCTAATTCCTTTTGCTAACAAGGCTTGAATGAAACCGGCAAAATTTACTAAATCTAAGACTTAAAATATGCAATTTTAGGAACACTTACAGTCAGTAATAATGAGAGACACAAAACTTGGCGTTTACTTCAATCATTCGTAAAACCGAACTCCGGGCTCACTTAAGAAAGTTAGTGACTACAGCTGGGCCCTGCTCATCATACGTACACTCCACACTGGGAATCCTGTGGGCAGAGGTCACAGTGTGCCAGGCTCAGGACAGGGAATGTTGCTTCAGCCTCTTCCTTTTTATCCACCTCAGGTCTGGAGTGGCGCTGTCTGTCTTCTAGGGAACAGAGTTATTGATTACCTAAGAAGCAAAGTTGCTTATCGATCAGTTAACAGAATGAACCATAAATCAAAAAAACATTTAGACTTTGAAGACAAAGAAAAATAAAGCTAAAAATCAAAAAAGAACCCTAGACTGAGTCTATAAGGGATGGGGAATTGGGAAAAGAGACTGTCAATGCAAAGAGGTTAGCGTCACCATTCCTAAAATAGATCTAAACTGTAGTAAAGAATGAGTAACTGCTTATTAAAAAAAAATAACAAAAATCATGGTTTAATATATTTGGTAAAAAAGAGATATACTGGTAGGACAGTAATTTCTGATCTAATTTTAAAAAAAAACAAATCATTTAAAACCATACAAAAACTATAAACTAAGGAAGGAAGGAATATCCATAAGAACAAATATATAGGGCAGGATAGTGTCAAGGAAACTCATAAACACACCCACAATAGCTCTCAGCCTCACTGAAGGAAGACACCATCACTCCTCAAGTAAGTGCCAGCTCCTTCAGAGACCCAGAGCAGGTGAGTGGAGGTATGGAAGAGGCAGATGTGGACAAGTGGGTGCAATTTTGGACAGCAGAGGTGGTAACGGGCTTGGGGGGAGGGGTAGGTAAGGAAGGTAGGATCTGAGACCTGAAGGAGATGGGTCAGCATTTGAAATGGAAACAGTGAGGCAGCACCCTGGGGACAGTGCACTAGTTTGCTCAGATGCACTGTTCAGACGCTGCAGGGCCTGCCCTCTTGAGCTCCCGATTTGATAAAAACCCAAGGGTTTGTGTTCTCCCATTCCCTGAGACCCTGTGCTCCACACTGCACTCTGTGAGGCAGCCTCCAGCCCGGGGAACAGGACCTGTGGGACACGGTGGCATCAGAAGTCAGGACCCCTCAGCCTTTCCCAAATCAGAGACTTCCCTTGTTTTCCTTCCCACCCTATCCACGGAGATCCTGACGTGTGCCCTTGAGTGCCGTGTCCATTCAGGAGGCCTGGAGAGCACAAGAAGCACACCTGGCCGACTGTACTGCCCAGCCATCATCCTTCGGGTGGAGAACGTCTCGCTTTTCTTCCTTAGGTCCACATGTGCCACACAGTGGTAGTGATGTCTCTCCATCAAACTAAAGATCCACAGCTACAAAAGCAAAAATGTAGACACCGGTCTCTTCCAAGAAGTGATACTTGTAAAATCCAAAGGAAAGGGGGGCAGAGCAGACAAGCTGCATCAGATATGCTCCTGGGTTCTCCTAGACACCTGGACTATCCTGAATGTTGCTTTCAGCCCCTCCTTGAAAGCTGCACAGCTTCCAAGCAGGTACTTACAGGGGGACGTTTGTCCAGAATCTTAGGTCAGACACGGCTGTGATTCACTGTCATACAGAGCCACCTATGGGGTCCCAAGACCACTCGCACCTACAGAGCACATGCTACAGACTTGGAGCCACGAGTATTTCTACCATGTTACTGGGCCCGAACACACAGGATAATGGCAGTTGAGTTAAGAAAAAGAAAATAATCTTAGCTTCCCAGTGTACAACTTCATCATATGCATATCAACAGTGCCTTTATTAAATAAACCTAAAGTGGGGGCTGGAGAGATGGCTCAGTGGTTAAGAGCACTGGCTGTTCTTCCAGAGGTCCTGAGTTCAATTCCCAGCAACCACATGGTGGCTCCCAACCATCTGTAATGAGATCTGGCGCCCTCTTCTGCCATGTAGGCAGAACACTGTATACATAATAAATAAAACTTTTAAAAAAATAAAAAAAAAATAAAATAAAATAAAATAAACCTAAAGTGTTTACATTAAACTTTTAGTAAGTATCTTCAGTTTTAAAATCCTCTGATGCTAGTGGCTGAAGAAGTGGTTCTAACTTTTGCTACATTCAAATACCATATAGCAGTTAAAACATGCACGTCAAGGTCATTCTGCAGACCAAAGGCCTCCCAACCCCACCACAGTGCTGAGATGCACAGTGGGACACGGCCTAGAACACCACAGGTGACGACAGAGAGCAGACCGTGCACATGTTCGTGTTCCACGTGCTTGAGGCTCAGCTGGAACTGCAAGGGCTCTCACCTGGCCATCAGCACTGCCAGTGACCAGCTGTCGGTTTTCTTCACTGATGAGCAAACTCAGGAGAGGGCAACCTGAGAGGGACACGGGACATTCAGGACGGACAGTGCTTCTTCTAGCTGACTTAGCGCTATTCTGAATCTTCATACCAGGAGGTAAAAATTATAAGTGAATACAAATTTGGAAGCATTCATGAGCAAGAGAGAAAAAATGAATGCTGTCCCAAATAAGAATGGCAGGTATATTGCAGCCAGGACATTAGATAGATGATAGATAGATAGATAGATAGATAGATAGATAGATAGATAGATAGATAGATAGATAGATTTATTAAAAACAAACAAGGGGGTGGCGCACACCTTTAATCCCAGCACTCGGGAGGCAGAGGCAGGCGGATCTCTGTGAGTTCAAGGCCAGCCTGGTCTACAGAGCAAAATCCAGGAAAGGCGCAAAGCTACACAGAGAAACCCTGTCTCGAAAAAAATCTAAAAAACAAACAAACAAAAAAGAATGGTGGGTGGTGGATCCTGGTTAGTCCCATCCCATCTGCAAACAGTGAGCAGGTCCAGAGCAACTGCCTGGAGGAAGGAAGTATTACTTCAGCTAGCATTTTAAACGGGGCAGAGCAGTTCCTGTGAGCTAAAAACAATGAAATCATAGATTTAGTGATAAAAACAGGAGTTAAATGGGTGTCTTACAAAAAAATAAAAGAACTCCCTAAATTTTAGTTTTACTTAAAATATAGTCTAAAGTATCAAGAATTTGGAAGAACTAGATAAACAGAGGTTGGGAAACACTGTATGTCCTAATTAAGCGACAAGTGACATTCATGGTGAGTCTACAGCACAGTCTGCAATTGTGTTCCTCAATCAAATTGTCCCACAAGATTGCTTCAGGAAAATCCAACAAAGTTCTGGAAAATGTGCTTCATACCCAAGCTTGGTAAAAAAACTCCAGGCTGTCAGAACACAATATTCTACATGTGGGTAACTGACCCAAAAAACACTCAGTCTTGGGAAATACAGTCGTAACTTTAGCAGAACACCAAAGCATCTGTGTTTTCCTTGAGTAGCATTTTCACAAGTCATCTCAAAGGAAAAGAAAGACTCCTAAATTAGCCATCCTGCTCTCCCAGAACACTGTGCATTCTTGGCGGGACATGGGAAGAACTCCAGAAGCAACCCATGAGATGCAAGGTGGAAACACAGGGCCCCAGGAGAAATGCTCCTCTGGCTCACACACAACACCCCAGGTCCCAGGAGAGCCAGGCCATAGGAACTGGTCACTCCTCTGTATAATCAAGTGTTGGTTCCACTGCCCACCAGAAACAATTTGATGAAAGCAACAATTATCCTAGAATTCATAGGATGGACAGAAGCTACAAGCCTCACCAATAGCTTACATGCTGTCCAGTTCTGGTGTCCCTCCAAACTTTTCCAGCTCTGGGCCTCTCCACAGGACAGTAGGGGCCCTGTCTTGGGCACTTTATCTGAGAGCCAAACTATTCCACACTTACCTGAGGCAGATACTCAGACGCCAAGTGTGTGTGTGTGTGTGTGTGTGTGTGTGTGTGTGTGTGTGTGTGT